TTCCCACTCCACTGTGTCGCCTGCAAATCAGAGCAATCAAGTTGTTTTTTTTTAACCTCATTAACATGTCCATATGGTGTTTTTATACACTGAAACACATATTATGAGCAAAATAAGCAGTCAACAGTATGGCGGAGCATTTCAACCTTGAAACTCCAGATACTGGCAGTCTCAATGAGGCAAATTCAGACTTCCACAGTTTTTATAGCCCAAGGAACCAAAAGTCAGCTTGCAGGGTGAGGCTTCCTGTATCATTATTTAGAATCGGTTTCTGGTTTGAACACATGTGACTGAATTACTCCAATATTACAACTTGCCGTTCTGTAGTGTGGAGTAGTTTTACAGTGCTTGAGCAGGTGAGCTGGTGTGCTTGAGAAAGAGGCAAGGACTATGTAGATCCACACATTCTAGATGAAGCAATGTTGCAAAGTTGCATCAAAGAAATTTAAAGGCTGAAAGTGGTTATTTTCATGGAAAAATATGTAAATATTTAATTTTGACACCAAGTGATGAGTTCTTTAGGGTTTATTTAATGAACAGAGAGAAACTTGATGTTTAGAACAAGTTAATAGAACAGAGGCAGGATGCCAGGGAATACACTTTATGAAACACTGAAATGCTGATGAAACAACAGTTACAGCTAACATTTTTCATTTCATTTCATTTTAACCTGGATGTTTTGACATGTTTGTAAAAATCTGAGCATGCTTATTGTTGCTCTTTTGTCCACGCCAACAAGGCCAGTCCACCTGCTTTACACATAAAGGTCTAATTTCTGTGTGACAATTACCAGTTGATCTTGTTTGACATATGGAATGAAAAAATTTAACTGTATTTCCCCAAAATGCTCCTTTATCTGACCTCTTTTAGAAACATTTGAATTTACAGTAATGAACTGCGGTGCATTTTCCAAGAAGTTCCATTACAGTGGACATTCATCTGATCATGCAGTAACTAAATTTAAGGTAAATATTCCACTATTATTTAATTTAATGCCATATTCCAACACAATGGAGAGCAGCTCCCTTCATGTTTGTCCAACACAGGTGGATAATCTTGCTGATAGGACTTAAGCCTCACTCTGCACATCACTTGAGACTGTTGATCCTCTAAAAAAGAAGGCAATAAATCACAGGAGAGTAGCTCCATGTATATTTCACAAATGTGCATCAAGACTGGAGCTGTGGTGTTCCACTAATTCAGAAGGATTTCACTTAGCCTGGAAAGATAGTTTAATGAAATATAAAAAAGCGCTCTGAAGAACAAGAACTGCTAATTATTCATCTCTAATAGAAGGAAAAGGATAATTCCAGGTTTCTTTTCAGCACTGTAACCAGGCTGACAAAGAGTCACAGCTCCGTGGAGCCTTGTGTTCCTTTGGAACTCAGTAGCAAAGACTTCATGACCTTCTTTACGAGTAAGGTTTTGACTATCAGAGAAAATATCACAGACATGTCTTTAGGTGCAGGGGCTCTGGAGGTGTCTGTGGGACCAGATTTATATTTGGACTGCTTCTCTGCTGTAAATCTTTCAGAGCTCACACCAATGGTCACTTTTTCGAAATCAGCAACATTTCTTTTGGGCCCCATCTTAAGTAAACTGTTCAAGGACATCTTTCCTTTAATTAACATTTGGGTATTAGACATCGTCAACCTCTCTTTAGTAATAGGCTACAGGCTTTTAAGATTGCTGTCATCAAACCACTAATCAAAAAGCCTTCTCTGTAACGAGGTGTTTTAGCCAAATATAGACTTATATCCATTATGATTATGCGATTATCTGCACAGAAATGGTTTATTTGAAGAGATTCAATCAGGATTTAGAACGCATAATAGTACAGAGACAATCATCAATGATCTTCTTATAGCTTCAGACAGTGGATTAGTTTCTATACTTGTTCTGCTGGATCCCAGCGCTGCATTTCATACAGTGGATCATGTTATTACAGAGACTGGGACATGTAATTGAATTTAACGGAACTGCACTAAATGGGTTTAAATCATATTTATCAGACAGATTCCAGTTTGTTTATGTTAATGATGATTCTTCCACCCACGTCAGAGTTAGTTCTGGAGTTCCACAGGGTTCTGTGTTAGGAACAGTACTATTTACTTTGTACATGCTCCCCGTAGGCAATATTATTAAGAAACACTGCATATATTTCCATTGTTATGCAGATGACACCCAGTTATATTTATCTATGAAGCCAAATGAAACCAGTCATTTAATCAAACTCCAGGCA